GAGTGAAGTGCTTGCAGGTGTATAGTGCTAGGCGGCGGGGCCTCTACCGTGCCAGTTTGAAGGGTTAGGGTATAAATGTGTAGGTATCTTTATTTGGTTGCACGCTATTGCTATACACAATGTCTGATGTCTGGAGTGGACCTGTGGCTACTGGCAGGTGTTGGCAGTTGCTGTGTCTCTGCTTTTCGCGAACTGGGATATCAAAGGGTTTGAGCCTTTTACCTTTAAGCCCTATATCGGTATTGCAACGGAACTATGTCAAAATACACAGCTTCACTTTCGAGTTTTGTTAATTTTATGAGCCAAATTAATTCATAAATAGTTTACAATCAGTTCACGATTAGTTCACAATTAGTTCACAATTAGTTCATATTTAGTTCACAATTAATTGACAATTAGTTCCAAATTATTTCAAAATTCGTTCACAATCAATTCAAATTAATTCATTCACAATTAGTTCATCTTTAGTTCACAAATATTTCACAATTAATTCACAATTAGTTCCAAATTAGTTCAAAATTAGTTCACAATCAACTCAAATTAATATACAATTGATTCACAAGTAATTCAAATTAATTCACAATTGATTCACAATTAATTCACAAATAGTTCAAAAGCAGTTCCAAATTAGTTCCCAATTTGTTTTTTAATCAATTCCCGATTAATTTACAATTAATTCACAATTAGTTCACAATTAATTCACAATTAGTTCACAATGTCTGTAGTCACCTATTGGCTGTTAGTCAACATTGTCTGTACTATTTCCTGAGGAATGTACTCGGAGCTTTATGCTGTACACGACGAGTACACTTATACAACATTACACATTACATATAGAACATTACACATACATGTACAACATTACTCATATATATATATACAAAGGTACATATATATATATATACAACATTATATATTCATATACAACATGACACATATCAATTGACTATTTCAATACGTTTGCATACGCGTTTGATCGCACGGGGCGTGTCTGTGTGTCCTATAGAAATACATGCGGGTATTGATTGGCTATTAAAATACGTTTGCATACGCGTTTGGTCACATAGACAACAACAACAGATAGCACGGCTGCAGTTAGAAGTGGATCGCGCGAAACGAGAGAGCAACGCAAAGATGCAGCACATGGCCGCTGAGATAGAGGAGTGGCGGAGGAAGGTGTATAGGGCTATGTTATTGTATACTATATATACTATTATGTAATATATACATTGTTATATATTTATATTATCAATCAATGGTGGAAGTGTGTAGGACTATGTTATCATATATTATATATACTGTTATGTATTTATTATATATTTTATATACTATTATGTATTTATTGTATTTATATATACTATTATTTGTTTATTATATATTATATATACTATTATGTATTATATACATTACATATTTTTATTATTAATTAATGGTGGAGGATGTGTAAGGCTGTATAATTATATATTATATATACTATTATATATAATATACATTGTTGTATATTATTGTTATCAGTTAATGGAGGGGGTGGAGGGGGTTAGGGTTAAGGTTTTAAGTGTGTGTATAGGTTAGTAGTGTATAATATATTATTGTTATCAGCTAATGGTGGGTGTGTAGTGGGTTAGGGTTTAAGGTTTTAGGTGTATGTATAGTGTGGTAGTGTATAACATATTATTGTTATCAGCTAATGGAGGGCGTGGAAGGGGGTAGGGTTAAGGTTTCAGGTGCGTGTGTAGGGTGGTAGTGTATTAATTCTGGGTAGCTTGATACTAGACTGTATACTTCGGTAGAAAGTCCTTCTCTATTTAGATAATTTAACTTTTTGGCGGTTAGCCTTCGTCAGCCGGATACAATGCTTATAGCGAATTAGGACAATTTTTCAATGTTTTTTGGTGCCTAGGCTGTAAAATAAATAGTACATAAGCAGTGATCTCAATCACAAATGCTGCATTATGTACATTATTTAGAGTTAGCAATTTATATATATATATATACATATATACATAATAAACTCAAAATTAAGCTCTAACTCGAACTCAAAACTCAAACTCGAACTCAAATTCGAACACAGGCAGAACGTAACGAATTGCCTGTGACTGAAACCGTAACACCCGATGGCAACACCATCAATCCAACCACAACAACAGCCACATCTACATCAACGGATGACGACTCTGGTGACAGCAAACAAGCAGCCAAGGTACACCATCTAACCATCATATATATATATATATATACATATGTGCGTGTGCGTACATA